TTGTTACTTTTTCACAATTTTAATCCGTTTATTGCTTTAAATTGCTTTCAGTATTTTATTAATATTTTATTAATATATTCTTGCTGCCAACATTACAATATAATAAATTTTTTTGAGTATTTCTAATTACATATATTATCTATATATATATAAAATAATTTCAAACGAAATGAAATTGCATCGCTCGGCAGACAGGATCTAAATGTTTTATAACTTTTCATTTCTTCTTAATTAAATTTATATTAAATATATTATTTAATATAAATTTGGAACAATAATATCGCGAGCTACGTGTTGTTATTATCAGCAGATTTCCAACGCAGCAGCTCAAAGCTATATTCTTAAATCGTTAATCAAATCCGAAAATCGATTGCATCTCCACTTTGCTCCCCTCGAAATATACGAAATTTGTATTGTAAAAAAATATCACCAGTCAGAAATCGAATCTGGACAAAATAATTTATTCCTTTTATAAACTTTAACGTTTCACAGAATAAAAAGTAGCGTTCTAGCGAGATAGGAAGCAAATAATCGAACGGGAATGTTTAAAGAATCATTTTACAACAATGTAATTTTATCGGTAATCCGTATGGTTTCTCACGGAAAGATCTGAAAGTGATTCTGCTCTCATGGTAGCGCCGCATGGTTATCGCGCGCGCAAATAATGAACGAGTGAAGGCGCAAGGCTATTGCGCAAACGAACCGTCGATTCAGCGGCAATTAAATCCTATACCGATAACAAGACCGTGTCTCTCTTAGGAACGCAATGCGATAATTAGCTTACCGATACGAATAGGTGTATTAAGACTTTATCGCCGGCGTTGTCTGAGTAATCGCTCGCGAAGCTACGTGCCGGAAAAAATTCCCCGTGAAAACGCGTTAGACGTAAAATACGATGGTCGCGCGACAAGAGGAAAAAAAAAAAGAGGATATTGGGAAATTAAACGAACGCCGTTTTTAGTCCCGCGCCGCGTGCTTTATTATTTTCGCCACTTACTTAACGCACGTTGCGCACAATTAATCCCGCACAGTTTGTGCGAATAAATCCAGAGATGGAAAGTACATACAGTAAAAAGTGCATACAGTATATTACAGCAGACCGATCCGCCGTTGAATTTCTCTATATTACATAGAATTTACATAGATATAGATAAATAAATGCAGGATATGTTGGTACAATCAGAACAAGAGATAATTATTAATTAACTTCACTTTCAAGATTGCATTAACATGAGCTAAAATTCGAAGATTAAATCACACGCAGCTGCGTAGCAAATAACGATCTTTTGGAAATATTTTTGTATAAAAATACAGAGAGTTAATGTTAGACATTTTCTAATACTTTTCATTTATACGTCTTAAACGCAGTCGAGATAAGATTTTTCGGTAGCATATGGCTCGTTTCTCTTGCATTCGGATTTTACTTCAATTTTTTTGAAAAGATCTATGATGGTCTATATATGATGGTATAAAATAACTTTTGAATATGATACTTACGAATGTTATCATGTTATCATTTTATAATCAGTTGTCGAAATATGCAAAATAAATCGAAGTTTTTTTTAAGCAACCGCCGCCAGAATAGTTTAGAGAATCGTCTCTATAGGGCTACAAATTAAATGTATTTTCGGGACATAGAAGGGTTCTCCCCATAAAAGTATTACGCCATTCGTTACGGTGCTCAGACCACGGAATTCCAAGAGCCATAACTATCATAGTTCCCGGTGAACTAACTAAAGCTATAGTTCAAAATGTTTCTACCACAAGTTCTCCTTTGGCTTTCTAGCGATTTCTAATTATAAGAATTATAGATTAGAAATATGGATATAAATCTTATTTTGCAGAATCAATATATATTTTTAAATGAAACATAACGCATTCTATTAATTGATTATATATATTTTCCAAGCCGTTATGCCTACGTTTAAAAATTCAAATTATTAATTAGATATTTATGTTTTAAATCATTAAAGATCGAACATATTTTTAATGCATCTATGTTTTATTTATTTATTTTTTAAAATTTTTATATCAAAATATATTTTCTGGATTATCGCTTTAAAAAATTCTTTAGAAAATTCCGCCGTAGTCTCGAGCTCGTTATAATCGCGCGTATTATCACGGTAATTTTCTTAAAAATCAATTTGTTATTAAAAATTAATTGCCGGTTTAAAGAGCAGCCAATTAAAGCATCCGTATCCTTATCTTATCGGATGTTGTTACATGGAGGTGAATATTGCAATCTAGTTTTTAGAATACAACGTATTGCAACGTAATCTATCAAGATTAAAGCATATAGAGTTGAATAGTTTATTTAAATATCTATAGCTTTATTTCTATAGGCGAATCTCTTTAGGCGATTAGATCGCAGAAAATCAATCCCGGTGATATGTAAAGCTTGACAAGAAAATTGCCGTATCGATTCGATCGGCTAATCGCTTCCTCGCGAGGAGTAGCCTAAAATAAGCCGCTCGCCGTCGTATCCTGTTAGCGGATGATGCCGCCGCGTAATACCGGTTCCCGTTTTATAATTTTCGTTATGCCCGCGTTGACCCTCGGAACGAAGAAAATATTGTCAATTAACGTCGTTATCCAATAACCGGGGCGACCCCGTGTATTTTTTATTCCGCGTAATGTTTACCGGCGAGAATACGCGATGGCCGTTTTCGCAATGGCGTTAGCCATTAGGAAATAATCAAATCGAATGATAAAAAAGAAAGAGAGAGAGAGAGAGAGAGAGAGAGAGAGAGAGAAGGAAGGG